TCATCTAATTCTGTTATCCTTATCAGTTACTTTTACTATATGTCTCAAATTCCTGATATGTCACACCTCTAGTGTTCTATTCATCTCGTATTAGCACCTCAGTTAGACCATCACCCTGTGCCGGCGCTGCCTGTGTTTCATCTACCACCAGTCAGGTGGTCCATAATCCATCTCCCAGATTGTATCTTACTGCCCGCTTTCTCCAGCCAGTCCTGCTGTCAGTTATCACAGGTAGGGTTCTTGGGAAGCAGACACTGGGACAGAACATAGAAGATATGGAAAGAAGTCAAATTTTAATACAGTTTAAGAAAGCTTTTTTTTTTTTTTTAAGATTTCCTTATTTTAGAGAGAGAGCATGAACAGGAGGAGTGGCAGTGCGGGAGGGTGAGGGAGAGAGAGAGAGAGAAAGGGAATCTCAGGCAGATGCTGCACTGAGCCTGGAGCCTGATGTGGGGCTGGATCTCATGACCTTGAGTTTACCACCTGAGCTGAAACCAAGAGTTGGATGCTTAATCGACTGAGCCACCCAGGCACCCCATGGGTGCAAGAAAGCTTTGAATAACCTGCACAGCAGCTCTGGAGTGAATATTGCAAACCATATGTCCCACGGTGGGCCATAATGGCAGAGCCTTTCCACTCCAGCCTTGTGCAATCAGCTGTTGGAAAGGGCATGACCTTGGGCAAGGCTTCTTCCTGTAGCTGAAGTAGACCCCGATGGAGCTGACAATTGGAAGTACTCCTTGCAGGTTGGGAGCAGGTCCTTCCTTGAAGGGTGTTCTGGGCAGCATCTACTTACTTTTTTTTTTTTTTTTTTTTTTAAACTTCTGCTTCCCCAGCTGGGGAAATCTTTTATTTAGTCGGGAAGGTAGAAGCAGAGCAGAGAATATTTGTCCTCCAACATCTATTGTATACTTCTTTCTTGATATTATGATCACTTATTGGACATACAGGCCCTGAGAATAAAGTAAGTTCTGGCCCATGGGTTGTAAGCAGGAATGGTGTGTATAACTTCTAGGATGTATCGTTTGAGGAGGCAGGATTGTCTTTCCTCCTTTCTGCTTATTAGAATGTAGACATGATGGCTGGAACTTAAGTAGCTATCTGGACCGTAACGTAGAAGCCACATGTTGAGAATGGAGGAAATTAGGTCCTTCATGGTCATGGAATCAGCACTAATCTACACTGCCTACCTCTCCACTCTGTTTATGTGATAAGGAAATGTGTACATCTTGGCTAAGGATGCTTAAAAAATGTTGCTTCTCATAGATTAACCTATTCCTATCTGATGCAGAATTTGATCCCTATAAACTCATACAGCACATAACACGCCTTAACCTCAATGTGGTATTGGCTTAGCGGAAACTTGGCAGTGTGTGGTAAAGACTCGGATACTGCAGAGACCCTTGTTGTCCTGTTGCAAGATATTTGTGGCATGAGGGGAAATAATTGGAAAAAGGTATAAACTTAATTTGCTGGCTTTAAATTTTTACCAGTTTCACCAAAGTTCTTTGATTAGCTCCGGCCAGAGCTAGTCAGTCTGCAAGTGGGGAAGGAAAGGTATACAGCTTTGCTAAGAGGGAAACTCTGCCTATAATCTAAGTGGATTAAGAGTTCCATAATTTGGAAGGGCTGAAAAACCCAAAACTTCTTTTTTTTTTTTTTTTAAGATTTTATTTATTTATTTGACAGAGAGAGATCACAAGTAGGCAGAGAGGCAGGTAGAGAGAGAGGGGGAAGCGGGCTCCTTGCTGAGCAGAGAGCCTGATGCGGGGCTCAAATCCAGGACCCTGGAATCATGACCCCAGCCAAAGGCAGTCATGACCCCAGCCAAAGGCAGAGGCTTTAATCCACTGAGCCACCCAGTTGCCCCAAAACCCAACACTTCTGTACCTTTAAGTCAAAGCACAGGGGGGCCTGGGTAGCTCAGTCAGTTGAGAGAATAAGGAAAATTACAATAGGAAACTAGAATTGGTTATCTGTCCTGGTAGAGTTTGAAAGTAGCAACGATTCTGCTAATACTAGAGAATGAGACACCCCAGTACATGATACACAATGGCAAACAAAGACTGACCTATATTTGTATTTCTAGTTCTGTCCTTGTCTATTTTGGTTATCAACATTATACTGACTTCAGAATGAGTTGTGGTCCTTTCTTTTCTGCGCTCAAATAGGGAATTCTCAATCCCTTGAAAGCAGCTCACACCCTAGCTTTGAGCTTATTTTACCAAGTGATAGCAGCATTAATTTCTCTTTATGTAGCTCAGAGTCGCTGTGTGTCATACTGTTCTTTGTAAAAATTCAGTGATTAGGAGCTTTGAAGTCTCACTCTTAATATGAGTATTTGGAAAGGGTATTGATTCTAAGGTGAGAAAATTACGAGGCAGTTACCTGGATTTAGGATTCTTGACTTGGCAAGGGAAGAGGTCATTAATGCCCGGCAGAGTTTTTAGGATAAAGATGTCCACTCTAGGGACGCCTGGGTGGCTCAGTTGGTTGAACTACTGCCTTCAGCCCAGGTCATGATCCCAGAGTCCCAGGATGGAGTCTCACATCGGGCTCCCAGCTCCATGGGGAGTCTGCTTCTCCTCACTCATGCTCTCTCTCACTCTCTCTCTCAAATAAATAAATAAGAATCTTAAAAAAAAAAAAAAAAAAAAAAGGATGTCCACTCTAGGTGATTTCTTCCAGTCTTGTAGTTTTAAATATCATTTGGTAACTCCTAATAGATTTATATCCCCTGATCCAAATCCCCCCCTCCCCCAGGTCCAAACTATCTGTTGGTTCATCTTCTCTGTATGTAAAGTAGGCATCTTAGTTTTAGTGTGCAAGAACAATAGACCCTCACAACAAACCCACTAGTACCTTAATGTTCCCCATTTCAGCAAGGACCAACCACTATCCAGTTGCTTTGGGGGAAAAATAATCCTTGTCATTTTGTCTCTTTCTTGTTACAACTCATCAGTGGATCCTTTTGGCTCTACTTCAGACTATATCCTGAATCCTACCAGTTCTCAACATTTCCACTGCTACCACCTTATTACAAGCCAAATAATTTATTTCCTGGGTATGTGGAACAGTCTCCTAGCTAACCTTTCTGCTCGCACTTTTGAAGGTCAACCGTCTATCCACCACAAGCAGCCAATTTACAAATTATGCCATTCCCCAGCTCAAAACCATCCAATGACTTCCGTTCCACTTCCTCACCCAGCTTGATTAATCAGAGCCCCGCTGACGTTATTTACCTCATTTTCCACAATCATCACATCTAGACTCAATGTGCTCTAAGCACCCTAGCTTCCCTGCTTCTGTCCCAAACACCGAGCACATTAAACTTGAGGACTTTTTTAAACTTGCTGTTCTCTTTGCCTGAACCATTTTCCCCTAAGATTCCTCCAGGTTTCACTCTCATTCAGCTCTCTGCTCAAATGTCAACTGAGAGGTCTTTCCAGACTATTGTATTTAGAACAGCCCACTCTTTATCTCCTTTACCTACCACTCATTATTTCCTAGCATTTTAGTTTAACTTCCGCCCCGTTCTAGAATGTAAAGTTCCCGTGGAGCAGGAAATGTATTTCATTCACGCCGTGTCCACAGCGCCTTGAAAAATGCATGCCTGGCACCATACTAGGCACCTAAAATCATGCTTGATTAAATGAATTTGAACTTATCCTGTGTTAACTGCATTACCTGCTTTGTGAGGTCACCTCACTAAAGTAAGCATACCAACAAAGGTAAACAAAAACCAAGTAGAGCCTGCCTTGCCGCATCTGAGTCCTAGTAAGGGCTCGCGCAGAAACCCCTTCTAGCTCCCCCAGCCAGAGCTGGGTCTTAAAACATGATCTTTTCTTTTCCTTGTCTGGCCGAGAAAGGGAAAGGGTAGACGGGAGAAAATGAGGCATGGAAGGGCTGAGGAAGGAGCCTCAGCGCTACAGTACACGGTTGAGACTTTGCTGTTATCCGTGGCAGCTCCGGTTTCTGTTGGGCCCTGGGGCCGGGACTGCGATTCCAGTCAGAAAGCACAGGGGCCAAGCACCTAGCACACCCGTCAGCCATTTTCCGAAACTAGTCTCCCTTAATAACCACGCCCGAGTGCGTACGCAAGAAAGGGGGGCGGGACTTATTGTGAGGGCCTCACTCCGGAAACCGCACCCTCGGAGGCGTCCCACCGTCGAGGATTCACAAAACGCCGAGCCAGATTTAACAGTCGGCGGCGAAAGCGCGCACTCGAACGCCAATCAGAGCGGAAGGAGGGGGCAGCTCCTGAAGGGTACTTTGCATATCTAGCAGTGACTGGTGGAGTTCTCCTCTCTTCTTTTTGGTATTGGCTAGACAGCCTTCTTCCGCCCACCCACTTGCCTTTTGTCTAGGTACTTGTGATTGGCTCCTCCTGGGTGGTAGTGGGAGGGGCAAGGTTTTAGGGATTTCTCATCGCAGATTGGTGGATTTGAGCCTCTAGCGTCGTCTTCTCGGGGAAGGAGACCGTCCCATCCTCTCCCTGTCCCGTCTCCCGACCCGTACGCTTTTCCTCAACTCGCGCGCACGAATGGTTAAAAAAAAAAAAGGGTGTGAGGCTCGAGCCCGCCAGCCAGGCCTCCAGCACCTAGCGCGCGCCCTCGGCGAGGACCCGCGCGAGCTGCCCGTGACGCTGCCTGCGCTGTTTGAAACTGCAGAACCCGTTAGGATCTTGGGGAAACTACCGTTCCAGCTGGTTCCCGAGCCCGTGCGTACCAGGGGGGCGAGCGGCGGTCGCGAGGCGGCTCCTGCCTTTCGCGTCTCTGCAGCGTGGAGACTAGAACCGGCACTTTCGAAGGACGCCACCTCCAATCGTAGTGCTGGCGCGGGCGGAGGCTAAAACACGGGGGTCCTGAGAGTGAGGAAAACGCGCCAAGTTCCCCTCGGTGGTGGAGTGGGAAAGACCCTAGCGGTTCAGGCGCTGGGCCAACGGGGCTACTTCTGGTGCTCCTTGCCATCCCGGGGCGGTGGCGGGTGGGGGCGGGCGTCGCTCCCGGGATGTAGTTGGTGCCGGCGCAGGGCAGGACCGAGCGGCAGCCCGGGTTCCCGCTCTTGAGAGCGAATGGTCACTCCCCTGTGGGGAGGGCGATCCGGCCAGCTTTTCCTTGGGTCCGGGGCCCCTGGGGCCCCGGGCAGGGTCTCACCTGTCGCACCCACACCCATCCCGGCTGCACTCGGGGCGTCACCGCCGCGGACCTCGCTTTGGGCCATGACCAGGTAAGGGAGGGCCTGGGGAGGAGGGGCCGGAGCTTGGGCGCCGAGGCAAGTTCGGCCGGCTCCCGAGGGGCTCTGACCCGGGACCCCGGTGTCGGCGCCGCGGGGGAGACGCCAGGACCACTTGGCTGCGGCGCCCTTGCCGAGCTGCCAGCCGAAAGGGCACCGGCGTGTGTGTGTGTGTGGCGGGGGCAGGGTGCCTCTCCTGCCGCCGCAGGGGTTCGGGGAGGCAGGTGCGGGCTGGGCGTAAATAGGCCAGCTCCACGGGCGAGGGGGGCCCGAGTCTCCACCGCCACCAGCCAACCTCCCGCCGGGCCCGGGCCGTGTCTGACGGGCACGCACGGCAGCACAGCTTAGTCTCTCCACTTTTGTGTTCCCGGAGTGGTGCGGGGTCTGGAGCAAGTGTTTCCACTCACGTTGTCCAGTGTCGGGTATTGACAAATTTTATCGCGCACTCTTGAGTATTTCTGGAAGTATTTAGAAGGCCACGTGTTTTAAACCTTTGTCGAGGATGCTATCCTTGTTTTACGTTTTTCCTGAAAAATTGGAATTAAGTCGTGTCGTCTTGCAAAGGGAAAAACTTAAAACTAATTTAGAAACTGAATGTTCATACTGTCATTTATTTTTTCAAGAGCAGTTAATGCTCGATTTGTTATGTTTTCTGCGAAATTTGATTTAGACTTAAGGAAAGCCAGGAGCAAGAAGTGGTGTGACATACGGCACCTGGTAAAAATGTGACATTGTCAATGATGTCAAATGTGAGTGATTTGAGGGAGCCAGGAGGGTTTATTGCTTAGGATTTATCCGTTATTTCAACTGCGTCCTCAGTTTTTTCTAATATGTACTTAAATCCGGTTAGAGAATACACTTTGCATTATATCTAAGAATTGGCTCCCAAGAAAAACCTTTGACAAGAATCGTTAATGCTAAGATCCCTGACAACTTGGTGCAAGCTGGTTTATCTTCGTGATAGCTTTCCATCAGTAGCATTAAGTGGCTAGGAGGGTAAATTGAGTTGGAGGGGGGATGGGGAAATTGGTCAACTTTACAGTTACTTCTGAGTTGTCTCAAAAATGTGGTTTCACTACTGAGTTCAAAGTTGCAAATTCCCAGATCAGCGGCAGCCGATCTTATTATGAAATGGTTATTAGTAAGCATTAGTATATTATTGTTAGCTTATTAGTAAAGATGGAGTTTGAGTGAATTTTGTTAGTTTATTCCTTCTACTACTGTGTATTTGAAAGTCATTGTCGAGCTTTTGTGCTCTAATATTCCAGTCAGATAATTTCCCCCCAGATATCTTAATGAAAGTAGGATGGGTGTATAAAGTAACTATCACAAGTACTGCTAGAGTTTTTTTCATTCAGAAGTTTTAACAAGTTAAAAAAAAGGTTGCAAAAGTCAAAAAAAACTTTTTCTACTCTGAGCAGCATTAAAAAAATTTACAGTTTTTTAAAAAGTGCTTGGAAAATCAGTAATGTATTGTGTTTAGTGCGTAAAAAGTTGGTCTGCACAAAGTGCAGCAATTCTTTACACCACTATCCCAGCTACACATGTTTTATTACTTTTCACTCAAGTTTTTAGGTATAACTGAACATCAGATGTATGCCTTTGCTTATATGCAATTATACTTTAATTAGGAGTATAGCTGACACATAACTTTATATTAGTTTCAGGTGTACAGCATAGTGACTTGTGCAAATTACACCTTAAAGAAGCTTTTTTAAAGAATTCATTTCATGTATTCATATTAATAACTAGAAAAGACCTTGGAAGGAAGACTCATTGATTCACTCTGAGCACTGTTGTCTTCCCATTCATCCCTTTCTCCCCTTGTACTTAAGAATTAGAGATGGTTGTTGCTCAGTGTTTTCTGAATAAGCTAAAATAAAAATTAACTTTTTACTCAAGACTGCTTTACTGTAGATGTACTAAAATGGGGTTATTTTGTGATGTGACCCTTAATCTAGTAGACTTACGAAAGTTCAGTATCTCATATTTTTTCTTGTTTAGGAAAGTTAAGGACAAATGGCAAGCGCTTTCATTTAAGCAGTAAGCATCGAGTGCCTTTTATTGGCTAAGAAATGGGTTTTCAGATGTGAAGTTCTAATTAGTTCCATTCCTTAGTAAATTTTCAAAATTATATTTCCAGCAGATAAACTGGAAAGTAATGAAATCTTCTCTCTGCGATTAACAGATATGATTGGTGATTACAACATCCTTATATAAATTAATTCTTGTCAACTCCTTGGGATTTGAAGAGAAAATGCCTGGTGTCATACCTACTGAAAGTAATGGGCTTTCAAGAGGTAGCCCATCAAAGAAAAACAGACTTTCCTTGAAGTTTTTTCAGAAAAAGGAAACAAAGAGAGCCTTGGATTTCACAGAGTCTCAAGAAAATGAAGAAAAGGCTTCTGAATATAGAGGATCTGAAATGTATGTATCTTATTTTAAGTCTATTTCTGTATTTTAAAAATTCCATTATCAGTGAAGCAGCAGTGAACTTTGATATCTCCAGACATTCTGACCTGATAGTCTCTGAAGGCAAAAACACACAGTAGTGAGACAAACATATTAGCTAATCAGATTCATTTGGAGAACTATGTTGTTGGCTAAATTATCTTTCAATTCAGACTTGTTCGTAGTATAACCCATTCTGTATAAAGGGTAAAGAAATACGTGTGTGTGTGTGTGTGTGTGTGTGTGTGTGTGTGTGTGTGTGGTTCAGAAGACTTAACAGTTCTTGAGCTATCTAAACTTTATAGTCATTCCTAATAGGTATGAATTATCAAACCTATTGTATAGTTGCCAATTTAAGATAAATTTAAAAGTAAGAAATGCTTTGATGCATTTCTCAGTGACTGAGATCTTAACAAAATGGAATACTTTAATACCATTGTTCTAGTTGTAGTCTATACTAGGTCATTATTCAACAAATAGGTGCACTGCTGTATGACCAAACTGGATTTGGTCTTGTGTAATTTCCTAATATTTACCAATAATCAGTTTAGGGGATGTGACTCTTATTTTTAAAACACTTTGAGGGGCTAGAGTAGTAAACAGCAACTGTAAAATAAATAAAAATGCTGTGAGGACCTACTGTTTGTTAAAGTGAGGTAAAAGAATTATAAACTTGAACAATTCGTTTTAAAGTGAAGGACAACTGTGTGATTCTCTTTAATAGAACCTTACCTTTTAATTTTGTTAACAGAACCTCATTTAGGTATACTGCCTCTCCTAGATACGGTCATAGCTTATTCCCAGGTTTTTATTGAGAGTTAGACTAGTCTTTTTTTTTTAAGATTTTATTTGACGGAGAGACACAGCGAGAGAGGGAACACAAGCAGGGGAGTGGGAGAGGGAGAAGCAGGCTTCCGGCTTACCATGACCTGAGCTGAAGGGCGATGCTTAACGACTGAGCCACCCAGGCTCCCAAGAGATAGACTACTTTTAAAAATGTCATGTAGGGTTCATTAATCACAGTACCTATTCAATTTTCTACTCTCTAAAATGGGATTAACAGCTTCATGATGGAATCCTTTAGAGGCTTGTTGTGTATGATATTTTTTAAAGTGCTTGTAAAACTTTTATTCTGGGTAGGTAGCAGTATTTGCACCTGTACAGATTTTTTCTCCTCAAGTGTCAACTGAATAAAGTCCACTTTCAGCTCATCCAACTTTTGGGAAAAGACTAAATCTAAGGAGGTATTATTTCCATTTTGTTTAAGGTACTACACTTCATAAAACCTTTCTCTGCTCTATACTTAATAGTGATCAAGTTGTTCCTGCAGCACAGTCCTCACCTATAAACTGTGAGAAGAGAGAAAACTTGTTACCATTTGTGGGACTGAATAATCTCGGCAATACTTGTTATCTTAATAGTATACTTCAGGTAAATTGATGGTTTTGATCTATAATAAAGCTTTAGTAGGCAAAGCATGATGTCATATTTAATGTTCTGAGAATTTCAGATTATTGGGAGTATTTTAATTGTCCATATGTCTTTGCCTTTGATTGTAAATAAACTGGAATGGGTTAAAGTAATGATTCTAAATTGTATGTTATCAGCTTCCTTTGGGGTGAGAGAAAGTAATACATTAGATGAAACTGGGATAACAAAATTGAGTTGACTTTGGTTACTTGGAAGATGCCAAACCCTTAGTTTTTGTGCTTGATTCCAAGTGCTCTGGTGATAAGAATTTTAACCTTTGGAACTCTGCTTTATGTTGTACCCTATAACCATAAGTCTTAGTAGTATGTGCCCAGCCTCAGTGCTTTCATGCCAGCGAGGGTAGACAGTTGGCTACAATGATGAAATAGAAAACAATTTTTGATATGTTAATCTCAGAATTTTAACTAATGCACATTTAAAAGTGCTCTACCAAAAATGCAGATAAACACTCAGACACTCTTGTTTTTTATAGGTATTATATTTTTGTCCTGGTTTTAAATCTGGAGTGAAGCACTTATTTAACATTATTTCAAGGAAGAAAGAAGCCCTAAAAGATGAAACCAATCAAAAAGATAAGGTAAAAAAAGAATATATGAAAAGTAAAGTAGTGGAAATTCACTTGCTTAGAAATGAAAAAGTAATAGATCCAGAGAAGATTTGGGAGGAGGATAACTGAGAAATAAATTTCTCAGTATCCTTTGTTTTCAGAAAGGTTTTTCCCCCCATTCTTGTAGGTTAGCTAACTACATTATCACCTTTGACAATGTCTTCTCCTGCCCTCTAGTTATTGCTTACGCATAAACACTGTCATTTATATGCCACAGCCAACAGTTTATCATACCATTGTACCATCTGCTACTTAACCTACTGTTTTCAAGTAGTCACTTTTAAAATTTAAGTAAATATAAAGAAGCCTTGGACTTAGTCAATCAGAAAACCATTCTCTTCCAAACAAAGTAATCAAAAAATACTCTTAAAAATTTTTAATTTATTTGTATACCTCTGCAAAATTAGTGTTAATAATGAAATTTAGCAAAGCTAATATTGGCTAGTAAGAAAAAGAAAAGGGGGAACAAACTTAATTTGTTTAATGGTTTGTGGCTTTCTTTTTTGACAGGGAAATTGCAAAGAAGATTCTTTGGCAAGTTATGAACTAATATGCAGCTTACAGTCCTTGATCATTTCAGTTGAACAGCTTCAGGCTAGCTTTCTCTTAAATCCAGAGAAATACACTGATGAACTTGCTACTCAGCCAAGGCGACTGCTTAACACACTCAGGTATAGCCTTTAATAAAACTTTAGGATTCCGTGTTAGCAACTTACTGCTCTCGTTGGAGGAGAGTGATACATGAGGGAATAAAGGGCAAGGAAAACAGAAACTACAGATCTACTCCCTAGTATCTCAGAGGCTCTGGAGATTAGATATTCCTTTGGTAAGTTTGGTATAAATAAATTCATTAGATCTGAATCGGTAGGAGGCTTTTTATAGTCTTTATTCATTCTTTTTTTTTTTTTTAAAGATTTTATTTATTTATTTGACAGAGATCACACGTAGGCAGAGAGGCAGGCAGAGAGAGAGAGAGAGAGAGAGGGAAGCAGGCTCCCCGCTGAGCAGAGAGCCCGATGCGGGGCTCGATCCCAGGACCCTGAGATCATGACCTGAGCCGAAGGCAGCGGCTCAACCCACTGAGCCACCCAGGCGCCCCTCTTTATTCATTCTTATTTATAAAGTGAATATTCATACATTTTTCTGTAGAAGTAGTAGTTTGTTTAATTATGGGATACTGTCCTGTCATGTTGGTGAAAAATCTTTAAGTGCTATATTTTTGATCTGAAAACTACTGGATTTCTCAAATATATTTGGTCCTAAGAAATTTCAGATTAGGAATTAAAGGTTTTTATTCAGAATATATTATGCATAAGAACTGTAAATTGCAAATATCCAGTTTTGTTGTATGGACTTGCAGAACTATTAACTGGATTAGATTTCTTTTTTGTTTGTTTAAGAAAGAGAGACCATGAGCAGGGAGAGAGGAAGAGGAAGCCTCCCGGCTGAGCAGAGAACCCAGTGTGGGGCTTGATGAATGGAAGGCAGATGCTTAATCGACTAAGCCACCCAGACATCCCTCTTTGTATTGTCTTAAGTGAAACTTTATCCAGTATATAAAATAGTTTTATCTGTATGTTATAGGGTAAATCTTTAGTTTAAGAATAGACCTAGGGGGCACCTGGGTAGCTCAGAGGGTTAAGCCTCTGCCTTTGGCTCAGGTCATGATCTCAGG